TAGGTTTGAACTGCCAATGTTGTGGTACAAAGCCCAGTGCTGATCCTACAGCTCCACAGCAGGAATCCTGAAAACTGCTTTGTTGTTGTTGTTGTTAGGTGGCATCGAGTGGGTACCAACTCATAGCGACCACCTGCACAACAGAATGAAACACTGTCTGGTCAAGGGCCAATCTCACAATCGGTGCTACCCTTGAAGCCATTTCTGCTGCCACTGTGCTACTCCATCGAGTTGGGGGTCTTCCTCTTTTTCTCTAACACTCCACTTTACCAAACATGATATGCTTCTCCAGGAACTGGTTCCTCCTGATGATGTATGATGTCCCTCCAAAGTATGAGAGACGGAGGCTGGCCATCCTGGCCTCCAAGGAGCACTTGTACTTCTTCCAGCACAGATCTGTTTGTTCTTTTGGCAGTTCACGGCACTTTCAATATTCTGCTCCAACACCATAACTCAAATGTAGCAATTCTTCTGCGGCCTTCCTTATGCACTGTTCAACTTGCACATGCATATGAGGCTACTGAAAATACCATGGGAGGGGTCAAGTGCACCTCAGTCCTCTAACAATATCTTTGTTCTTCAACACTTTAAACAGGTGCAGGAGATCTGCCTAATGCCATAACGTAAGTCTTTTGAACATCTGACTGCTGCTTCCATGAAGTATTTATGATTTATCTGAGCAAAATTGAGTCTTTGACAACTTCAATCTTTTTTCCATTTATACGATGTTCTTTGTTGGTCCAGTTTTGCAGATTTTTTTTTTTTTTTCCTTTACATTGAGGTACAACCCATACCAATGGCTGCAGTCTTTGATCTTCAGCAGTAAGTATTTGAAGTCCTCTTTACGTTCGTTAAACAAGGTTGTATCATTTGCATATCTCAGATTGTTAATGAGCCTTATTCCAATCCTGATGCCATGTTTTTCTTCATTTAATCCAGTTTCTCAGATTATGTGCTCAGCATACAAACTGCATTAAGTGTGGCGAAAGGATACAATCTTGGCACAGAGCTTTTCTCATTTTAAACTGTGCCAGCCCTACGGAAAGTCTACCTTCCAATGTGCTCATAAATAGATTTTCTTGCCACCGAATTCAATTTTTGTGGAAAATGCACACTTTATCATAATTAAGAAAAACTGTTTTCCTGTCTTTTTTCTTAATTTTAATGTTTATTTAAGGTATATCCCAAACACAGATAAAATTTTAAAAATCTGTATACACTTTTTGTCCAGATATAATAGACAGGAATATTTTGCCATTTCCTTCATATCTTTTTTGTTTTAAAAATGATATACTGTATTGCAGACCAAACCAATCCCACTGCCATCGGATCAATTCTGATTCATAGAGATGCTTCAAAGGACAAAGGAGAACTGCTCCTTCGGGTTTCTGAGGCTGTAAATCTTTGTGGAAGCAGAGCCTCATCTTTCTCCCCCGGAGTGGCTGTTGGGTTTCAACTGCCAACCTTGCAGTTTATAGCTACTGCTTAAACCACAGCACTATTAGAACTCCTTATAATGTATTACTGTTGCTGCTGCTAAACGCTGTCAAGTCGGTTCCGACTCATAGCGACCCTGTTTCTGAGGCTGTAATATTTGTGGGGTCAGAAAGTCTCATCTTTTTTCAACAGAGCTGCTGGCAGTTCACAGTCCAGGGCTTTCCTACAGAGTCACCACGTTCTGTATTATAAATACAGCAGAATTCCCATCTTTCTAGAATTTGGAAAGTATGACTCCTATGTGTGTATACATAAGGAGCTACGGTAACATAGTGGTTATGAATCGGGCTGTGAACCTCAAGGTCAACAGTTCAAAACAACCAGCTGTTCCGCGGAAGAAAGATAAGGCTTTCTGCTCCCGTAAAGATTTATAGCCTCAGAAACCCTGTAGAGGGTGGGTCGCTATGAGTCGGAACCAGCTCCATGGCTCATAACCATCAAC